CCCTAATAAAAAACATTGGGGAAACCAGTGCAATAAATAAGATTTTCTAAAGCACCTTCTATTGATTGTACCTAATAATAAGAAGCTGATTTTAAAAATGAAGTGCAACCTTTGGGATAATAGCACTCTTTTGCTTACAAAGAAGGAGTTTCTTAAGAGTGAATATCTGCCCATCCCCCCACTTTCTTCTTTTCTAAACCAGTCTTTTTATTTCCAGTTCAGTAGAATTTAAAAACCTCTCTAAAAATCATATCTATTCTAGTGTCTTCTTCTGTTAATTATTTCCCATTTCTCTTATGTATCTCTTACTTTGTATATATTTGTTTGCATGTTGTCTCCCCCATTAGATTGTAGACTCCTTGAATGCAGGGACTGTCTTTTGCCCTTTTTTGTATCCCCTGTGCGTAGCACAATTCCTGGCACCTCCTAGGAGTTTAATAAATGTTTATTGATTGATTGACTGTTTTCCTGTCTCCTAGCTATGCTTTTCCAGGGGGTCAGTGGTAGAGGAATTTGAGGCTGCATAGCTAGATAGGGAAGGTCAACATCAAGTCAACGTGTAATTGAAGAGGAGATAGAACGATTGTGTTTATAGAACTCATACACCATCCAGTCCAACCCATATCTAAAGAAGAATTTCTTCTATGACATTTATAACAAGTAGTCATTTAGCTTTGGTTGAGACATGTTGGGAGAGGGGGAATTGTTATCTCCCAAGGCAGTCCATTCTGCTTATGGATAGATCTGATTCGTTGGTAATTTTTTTTTTGTATATTGGTATTTTTGGTATTGGTATATTTAGTAATTTGGTAATTGATTATTTTCCTTACATTGAGGTGAAATCTGCCTCTGTGAAACTTCAACCCATCATTCCTAGTTCATTTGATCATGGCTTTAGAATTAGAAGGAACCTTAGAGATTATGTGTCTAACCCTCTCATTTTACAGATAAGGAAATTTAGGGCCAGGGAAGTAAAGTGATTTGCCCTCTGCCGTCTGAGGTGAACAAGGACTAGTCTCATCCACCTCCTGTGTAACCTCCAAAACAATCCTCCAAGACAGCTGAAGACAGCTATCTTGGCCCATCTATGCCTTCTAAGCTCAATACCCTCGTTTCCTTCTTCTGTCACCTCTCCTTTGGCATGCATGGCTCAGAGGACTTTCCTCATCTGAGTCACCTTTCTCTGGATACCCTCCAGTCCAACCCAAATGTAAACAAGAATTTTGTCGGCTGACCATGGGAGATTAGAGTCAGACTATTACTTCTCATTAGTCCCTTAAATTCACTGTAAAAGTAAGCAGCTGAAAATTTTAAAATGTGATTCTAAGAGAGATCTTTTCCTCTGTATTCCTTACATAATAATAATAATATTAATAAACATTTATATAGCACTTGAAGGTTTGAAAAGTCCTTTGCATATATTACCTCATTTTATCTTTACAACAATCCTGGGAGGCAGGTGGTATTATTAGCCTCATTTTGTAGACAAGGAAACTGAGATAGAGGTTAAGTAACTTGCTCATGGTTACACAGCTAATAAGTTTCTAAGGTCAAATTTGAACTCAAGGCTTTCTGAGTCCAAGTCCAGTGCTTTATACACTCTGGTTGCCTCTAGCTTCTTTAGTACTCTTAAGGAGTTCGTAGGCATGGTAACTATATTTTCCAGGTCAAAAAACCAAAACCAGGAGAGATGGTTTGACAAAGCATTATTTTTTTATTTATAAGACAGGATATTTGAAATTAGTGTTGTCCCAGAAAATCTTGGACGCGTAGTCTTCTTTCCTGGTCACCTAATGGAGAGGATAGAAAAGGAAGAAGAGAACAAAGAATAAATGAAGGAAGAAAGTGGTGGATGATTGGTGCTGATGAAAAGAGATCATAGATGGGAATGGGAATTTGGGGAGTAGCAAAGGGAAAAGACTGCAGCTGGGTTGCAGCTGGCTTAACAGAGAAGAACCAAGAATTGTCAGGGTAGCTCCTGTCTCTCCAACTTTTGATTCTAATTTTAGCTCCCTATAATACAAGGCCATGAATAGCTCCAAGAAGAAGAGAACATGGTAGCTAGCCCTTGAATTACTGCTTTAAACTCTAGTATGTATTGGTAGAAATTTTTGACCAGAGCAAACACTTGGGACAGAGCAATGGTAGTTGTGCTATTGAGGTTAATATCCTGAGCACTGGAAGCCTTTGCTGGTTTTTGATCTGGCCCTTGTGCTTAAAAGACTATTTGACATAGGTCTTGGAAGCATGATAACATGGCAGGTTTCCAGGGCCATGCAGCTTCTCACCATAGGAGGAGGAAGCAAATATAGTTGTAGCATCCCTTAGCAGGCAGTTACCAAAATGGAGAGCAGTGTAGATGATTTTAGATGAGCTGCTAAGCAGAAATGGAAGGAATCTGTGGAACACAGTGCCATAAAATTTGGTCAGCATGACTCCCACTTTTAGGTAGTAAATTAAGGTCATTTGCTTTCTCAACTGGAATGAGGACTCTCTCTGCGAGTTTGAAGAGTTTTAAAATAAGGTGGTTTGATCAATTTCTTCCACCCATTTCTGTTCCTACATTCGGTGTCAAATGCCTCCATCTGTGAATGCTTGTGTGATAAGCTAGCATCTGTATTTGAGAAAGGAAAATGATAAAGCCTAGACACAAGACTTTTGTTTCCAAAAGAGCTTTTTTTTTCCTTAGAGGATATTATTCACAGCTGGTTGGAGATGAGAAAGGTTACTGCAGCCCTACAATTCTACATCCACGATTGGACTGATGGTATGGCAGCTCTTTCTAAGATTTTCCTTTATGTACAGGACAAGTTCCATCTCTGAAGTCTATTAGAACATCTTCTTTAGGCATTCCATGTGATTCGCTGCATATCTATGCTTGGGGGCTTTGAATACAGTCATTGGTTGAGGGACATAATATTATGGCATTGTAACATTTCCTCATTTACTCGAAGTTGGCTAATAAGGGGAATGTGGAGGGTCCTGGGCTCAGATGGGCAAAGGTGAGCCAGTCATTTGGCAAGAGTGAAGGTTAGGATTAGCAAATATGGTTAGGTTGGATGATGTAATGTCATGTCAAGAGAACTGGAGGAAAGCCCCTTCCATATTGGGTGGGTCTCCCTATAGAGGATTTAAGGGATAACATGGACAAGATTTGCCTAGGATTGTGATCTATAGCTTTGGAGGGAGTACTTGCATATATGAGATCAAAGATCTGTTAGAACATTGCAAGGCACTATTTACTCTTCCTACCATAAGATTCACAGATGAATGACTGGGTCTCTTTCCAGAAGGAACTTACGAAGTAACTGAAAATTAAGTCTGAAAAAGAACATGCATCGTACATGTCAGTACATGACAAATGTCTTATGTACAGTACAAACTCATACCGTAGAATGCCACAGAAGAGGGAAGGGAAAGAGAATAGATATTTATATAGTGCTTACTATGTTCCAGACACTGTGCAAAGTGCTTTACAAATATTATCTCATTTGATTCTCACAATCACCCTGTGAGGTAGATGCTGTTATTATCCTTGTTTTACATTTGAAAAAACTGAGGCAAATAGACCCCAGGGCCACATTGCTAGTAAATGTTTGAAGCTAGATTTGAACTCGGGTCTTCCTGACTCTGGGTCCAGTGCTTTATCCTCTGTGCTACCTAGATGACTCAGCTAGTGAAAAAGTGAATGACTTTTAGCTGGGGTGGTTGGGAATGATTTAATGGAAGGTGTGGCATTTGGGCTGGGCTTTGAAAAATGGGAAAATTTTGATTAGCCAAGATGGCAAATAAAGTATCACAGGCAGAGGATACAGGAACCTTTTATAGGACAAGATAAAGGAGATATTACTCAATAACTTCTCCTAATCATCATTATCCAAAATCAGGACAATTTTGAAAATTTGCACTATTTGACTTGAGCAGACATCTTAAGTATATTTATTTGTATAGATAGAGCTGTCCAGGACTGGGGCATTAATTTCAGAGAGGAACTGCAGTTGGCTTAGGGATAGGGTGAGCGGACTAAGAGGGGTATAAACTCATTTTTTTTCTGAGTATTTCTGGGAAGAGTGAGGGAGAGAGAGCTGTAAGAGGTGGAGATTTCTTATCCTTTCTCTGACCCATAATATCTCCTCCATCTTCCTGTTATTTCTTATCAATGCAGCTTGTGATCTAGTAGAAGAGTAGAGCTTGTCCCCTGGGAGTGTTCCTCTTTCTTATTGCCCTTTTCTGTCTCCTCCCATTCCCTTGTATTTTCATGGGACTTGAAACCCCTTTATTAATGATATAAAAAATTTGAGGAAAAGATACACACATAGTCCCATTCCTGCACAAATACTTCCTTCCTATTTATAGAAGCTTGCGTCTGCAAGGTAAATGACATATTTGTGAGGTTTGATTAAATGGCTTCCTAAACATATCTACCACCAAAGCAAACTCATTGATTATGAATGTGAGCCTATCATCTTGGGCTTTCTAGGTGTTCTGCAGTTCTGCTCTTCTTTTCTTAAGCTGTACCTGCTGTGTTTTCCATCCAATTGATCATGTTGGCAATGTCACTATAGGTTATTTATATGACTGTGTTTGGGCCAACATTGTAATTGATTTTGAATTTCAAGTTTGGGTAAAAGCATTTTCTTTTTCTTTAAAACAGCTATCTGTCTAGAAAGTTTCTGTTATCTGGTGAGGTTGGGGAATGGGGTGTTGTGATGGATCCCCTTAAATAGAATTGTCTTATGTATGGCTTGGTGATTTTCAAAAAATCAGAAGACAGTGAAGTACATTAAACATTCAATCTGTACTGGGCTTGGTTAATGTTTGTAATAATAATAATGATGATGATGATGATGATGATTAATAGCTAAGACTTATATAGCACTTATTATTTGCCAGGTACTGTGCTAAGTGCTTTAAAATGATCATCTCATTTGATCTTCACAACAGCCTTGGGAAGTAGATACTATTACTTTTTTTTTCATTTCACAGATGAAGGAACTGAGACAGAGGTTAAATGATTTGCCCAAGGTCACACAGCTAGTAAGTATCTGAATCCAGATTTGAACTCAATTCTTCCTGACCACAGACTCAGTGTACTATCCACTAGACCGTTCAACTGTCCTTGTTATTACTGACATTTATTTGTTTCAGTTGTGTCTGACTCTCCATGATCCCATTTGAGGTTTTCTTGGTAAAGATATTGGAGTGGTTTGCTATTTCCTTTTCCAGCTCATTTTATAGATGAGGAAACTGAGGCAAACAAGGTTAAGTGACTTGCCCAAGGTCACAAAGCTAGTAAGTGTCTGAGGCCAGATTTGAACTGAGGAAGATGAGTCTTCCTGATTCCAAGGCCAGCACTCTATCTACTACACCACTTAGCTGCCCCTTGTAATTATTATTATGTTGTTATTATTGTTTTCATGGTCATTATCATCATCATCATTATCATTGTCATCATCATCATCAGCATCACCATCACCATCTATGTATCTGCTCATCAGATTCCACAGACCTTTTGAATGCTCTTTGAATAGCTTTTTGAGAGATATTCTGGTGGGTGTAAGCAGATACCAGCCTGTCCATAGCATTACTTATATTTGAGTTTACTCATTATACTTTCACAACATTTCATTTTTATTATTCTGCTGTACTTTCCATTTACATTGTTTTAGTCACTGTATATTTTGTTTGATAGGGTCTGCCTAATTCATTTTGCATCAGATCACATGTCTTACTGTGTTTCTCTGTATTCATCATGATTATTGTTTCTCACACTACAATAATGTATTCTACTCATGTACCACAAGTTGTTTAGCCATTCTATAGACAGAATGCCTATACTACTGGAAGATCTCCAGCAGGTTGGGTAGATCTTATGTGGAGGTGGTAGAGGGAGGATTTATGGAAAGACACAGACAAAAATTATCCAGGTTGAGAAATCTTGGACGGGTCATGATCTACCCTAGTGGAGAGAGTTCTCAAATATTTGAGATCACAATTCCTCATAAAGTCCAGTATTCACAAGGTTCTTTAATGTCCCTTGGTGATGTTAAATTGGCACCAAAAGACACACTCTCTGCCATACATGTATTTGTATGTCTGTGTCTATATCTGTGTCTGTATCTGTGTCTGTGCATGTGTGCATGTATATATGTATATACACACATACGTGTATATGTGTATGTATACATATATACATATACACATATACACACAGAGAGATCAGCAATTTAAATGGAAATTTTAAACAACTGGGCTCTATTTTGCATATTTTATCAGTTAGCTGTGATTGAGAGTTACCTATAACCAGGATATTATCCTTTCCTTCCCTCTGATCCTCTCCCTCCTCCCACACTACCTCCATTCTCTATTATCCTGAATAATGAGTCTTCTGGGTCAGAGGATGAGACCCAGGGGCAGCTTTTTGAACATCTGTGATTATTTCTCTTTTGAATTTTTATAGTTAGGAAGTCCTAAAGTTTTAAAGATAAACTTAAGGGCAGTTTTGGACTTCTTTTTAGGATTTTAAATACTTTTCATTGAATAGGAAAAAATATACTAGAAGACCAAATTTTGGCATGTTTAGTCATTGAAAGTCCCAAGAGGGAAGAAAAAAGAAATTTCTTTAACTCTCCCTCATTGCAGAAAAGTTTGCCTTCTTAACAACTAGATTTATTACAGATATAAGTAGTAAACAAACAAAAAATGAAAGTTGTTCATTATTCAGTTCAGAGAGACAGAATCCCAAAAGCATTAGCAGGAGAAAATGTAGGCTTTCTTTCCTAAAAGGGGAAGTGTCACATTACAGTTTGCTTCCCTTTTAAGGACTTGAACTTTATTTCACAAGATCTAGTGCTAGAAGGAACCTGAGAGGTTTTGAGATCAAAGATTTAAAGCTAGAATACAGGAAATAAGCATTTATATAGCTCCTACTATGTGCCAGACACTGTGCTGTCATTTATAAGTATTATCTCATAAAATTTGATGAGATAATATTTGTAAAGCAATAATATTGGCAAAGCACTTAGTAGGCACTATATAAATCCTTATTCTCTTCCCCTTATCTCTTTTGATCCTTACTACAACTTATTGTTACCTCCCATCATTGTAGTGATATTTATTTAACTGTGTATATGTTCTTTCCCCACATTAGAATACAAGTTCTTTGAAAGAAGGGACTGTGGAGTCTTTTTGTCCAAAGTACCTCGCCAAGGAACCGGAACACAGTTCCTAAAGCTTGTTGGAGGACTGGATGAGCCATCCTTGATTCCTCCTTTTTCCTATCTTCCAAATCCAGTGGGTTGTCAAGTCCTGACAATCCCCTAGGATTTCTGCCCCATCTCATACTCATTACTTTCCACTCCTGCAAATTCTTTAGCCTGTTTGAGGCTCTTATCACTTCTCAGCTGAACTCTGCATTAATCTATTAATGGATCTCCCTACTTCCTGTCTGGTGGAGGAGCTTGTGTGACTTGATGAAATTTTGAACCGTACTGTGCAGGCTTACCCAAGACAGACAATCAGAGTGGAGAGTTCTGACAAAAGATGATCCACTGGAGAAGGAAATGGCAAACCCCTCCAGTGTCTTTGCCAAGAAAACCCCATGTTCAGTAGTAAAATGATATAAGAGATGACAGCAGAGGATGAGCCCCTCAGATCAAAAGGTGTCTAATACACTTCTGGGGAAGAGCAGAGGATAACTACAAGTAGCTCCAGTACTAATGAAGGCTGAAAGGAAGCTCAGTTGCAGATGTGTCTGGTGACAAAATGGAAGTCTGATGCTGCAAAGGTTAATATTGCTTAGGAACCTGGAATGTAAGATCTATGAACCAAGGTAAGCTCGATGTGGTCAAACAGGAGATGGAAAGATTAACCATCAACATCTTGGGTGTCAGTGAACTTAAATGGATGGGAATGGGTGATTTTAATTCAGTGACTATTACATATACTACTGTGGGCAAGAATCCCTTACAAGAAATGAAGTAGCTCTTGTAGCCAATAAAAGGGTAAGGAAAGCAGTACTGAGATATAATCTCCAAAATGGCAGAATGATATCTGTTCAAATCCACATTCAACATCATGGTAATACAAGTCTATGTTCTAACCCACTGATGCTGAAGAGGTCAAAGTTGATCAGTTCTGTGAAGACCTATGATATCTTCTAGAAATAACTCCCTCCCCCCCCCAAAAAAAGTCACATTTGTCATGGCGAATTGTAATGCAAGTAGAAATCAAAAGATAATTGGAATAATAGACAAGTTTGGCCTTGGAGTACAGAATGAAGTAGGGGAGAGATTAATAGTTTTGTCAAGATAACTCACTGGTCATAGCAAACTCTTTTTCAACAACTCAAAAGATGACTCTACATATGGACATCACTAGATGGTCAATACCAAAATCAGATTGATTATATGCTTTCCAGCCAAAGGTGGAGAAACTCTATTACAGTCAGTTAAAAGAATACCTGGAGCTGACTGCGGCTCAGATATGAGCTTCTTATTTAAAAATTTTAGACTTAAATTGAAGAAAGTAGAGAACACTATCAGACCATAGAGGTATGACTTGAATAACATCCCTTATAAAATGAAGGGGAAGTGAAGAATAGATTTAAGGGCTTAGATCTGGTAGATATAGTGTCTGAAGAACTATGGACAGAGATTCACAATATTGTACAGGAGCCAGCAACAACAATAAAAAATTCTAAAGAAAAAGAGGAGCAAGAAAGTAAAATGGTTATCTGCTGAGGATTTAAAATAACTTAGGAAGGAAGGAAAGCAAAAGGGAAAGGAGAAAGGGAGAGATATACGCAACTGAATGCAGAATTCTAGAGAATAGGAAGAAAAGATAAGAGGGTTTTCTTAAATGAGCAATACAAAGAAATAGAAGAAAGCAGTAGAATTGGGAAGACGAGAGATCTCTTCAAGACAATTAAATATATTAAGAAAATGTTTCGTGCAAAAAATGGGCATGATAAAAGACAAAAATAGTAGGGATTTAACAGAAACAAGAGAGTAAGAAGAGGTGGCAAGAATATATAAAAGAAATATACAAGAAAGCTCTTAACATTACTGATAATCACAATTGTGTGGTTACTGATCTAAAGCCAGACATCCTGGAGAATGATGTCAAGTGGGACTTAGGAAGCATTACTAACAACAAGAGGAGTGGAGATGACAGAATTCCAGCTGAGCTATTTAAAACCCTAAAAGATGATGCTATTAAAGAATTGTGCTCAATATGCTAGCAAATTTGTAAAACTCAACAAGGGCCCCAGGATTGGAAAAGATCAGTTTATGTCCCAGTTCTAAAGAAGGTCAATGCCAAGGAATGTTCAAAGTACTGAACAATTGCACTCATTTCACATGCAAGAAAAGTTGTGCTTAAGATTCCGCAAACTAGGCTCTGGCAATATGTGAACCAAGAATTACCAGAAGAGTTGGCTAGTGTTCAGAGAGACAGAGCAACTAGAGACCAAATTGCCAATATTTACTGGGTTATGGAGAAAACAAGGGAGCTCCAGAAAAACATCTACTTCTGCTTCACTGACTACACTAAAGCATTTGACTGTGTGGATCACAACAAAATGTGGCAAGTCCTCAAAGAGATGGGAATACCAGATCATCTTACTTGTCCCCTGAGGAACGTGGATGTGGGTCAAGAAGCAGCAGTTAGAACTAAACATTCAGTAACTGAATGGTTTAAGATTGGAAAAGGAATACGATAAAATTGCATATTGTTACCTTATTTATTTAACATATGCAGAATATGTCATGTGAAATGCCAAGCTGGATGGATCAAAAGCTGGAATTAAGGTTGCTGGGAGAAATATCAACAATCTCAGATATGCAGATGATACCATTCTGATAGCAGAAAGTGAAGAATTATGAAGCTTCTTGATGAAGGTGAGAGGAGAGTGTAGAAGCTGGCTTGAAATTTAACATCGCAAAATCTAAGATCATGGCAACTGGTCCTATCACTTTCTGGCAAATAGAGGGAGAAGAAATGGATGCAGTATCAGATTTTATGTTCTTGGAATCAAAAGATCATTGCAAATGGCAACTGCAGCCATAAAATTAAAAGACATTTGCTCCTTGGAAGGAAAGCTGTGCAAAGCTGGACAACATACTAAAAAGCAGGGACATTCCCTTACTGATAAAGGTTCATGGAGTCAAAGCTATGGTTTTTCTACTAATAGTATGTGACTGTGAGAGCTGGATTATAAGGAAAGCTGAGCACCACAGAATTGATACTTAAGAATTGTGGTGCTGGAGAAGACTTTTGAGAGTCTTTTGGACAGCTAGGAGATCAAATCATACTTAAAGAAATTAATTTAGACTATTCATTGGAAGGTTAAATACTGAAGCTGAAGCAGAGAATGAGAGATGGATAGATAGTGTCATGGAAGCAATGTACATGAACTTGGACAGACTTTGGGCTATGGTCCATTGTGTCGTGAAGGGTTGGACATGACTGAATGACTGAACAACAAAATTTCAAGTCTCTGATTTCTCCAATTCTTCCTTCATACAGCTAATAAATGATTATTTCCCAAAATATAGCTCTTACCAGGTCACACTACCCTCCTCTCTCCAACCCCACCCCCCAATTCAAGAGTTCAGTGACTCCCCATTGCCTTTAGGATAAAATATAGACTCCTCACCTTGGCATTTAAAATCTTCTCCTATCTGGCTTTAGCTTCCCTTTCTAGTCTTATTTCATATATTCTTTCTTTATATCGAATTAGCCTTCTGTCCAGTTGTTCCACGAACAGAAACTTCTATTTCCAACCTTTCCACAAATGGTCCCCTATGCCTAGCATGCATATCCTGCTGGACACTTCATAGGGTCCTTAATTTCCTTCACAGATAGCTCAGAGGCCACTTCTGACAAAAGAAGCCTTGTCTGATCTTCCGCTCCAGCCCCTCTCCTCTGGTAATTAGCACTCTTTAACTCTTGAAATTACTTTGAGAGCAGGTACTGGTTTTTTGGTCTTTGTATCTCAAGCAAATAGTACAGCACCTTACACATAGTAGGCCCTTAGTAAATATTGGTCACATTAAATTGAATTGAATTGGTTGTTCCTAATTTTCTTTTTCTGGTAATGTACTGGGTGAATGGGATTTTGTTTTCTTTTCTTTAATTTTTATTGATGTCTATCTTTTATGTCACTTTCATTTCCCAATGTGTCTCTTACTCCTCCCTTGCCCTGAGAACCAACTCTTATAACAAAGAATTAGAAATAAGAGGGAAAGGCCAGATCAAACCATCAAGGGAGTGACCTGATGTGACCGATCACTCTTCACAGACCCTGGCTCCTTGTGCCATGTCTAGCATCTCCAACATCATTGCCATGAAGAATGTGGTGCAGCAGGTCTGGCTCAAGGCTGGGCTCAACTGCATGAAAGTTTCTCAAGCTGCTGCTGATCTAATCTGAAGCAGTTTTGCTTGCAAGATGTCCAAAATGATTCCCTCCTAACTGGGGTATCTTCCAGTACTAATTAATCCTTTTAGCCTGAAAAGGTCCATTTGTTCCTCTAGCAAGATGCCCTTAAGTTTTCATATGTGGATCTGTGATGTGATGTGATGTTCTGTAATGTGCATTGTAACTATTCAAAGAAAGGAGAATTCTGAAGCCTACACAAAAGCTTTATGTATAACAATGTGCCAGGTTAATGATCTAAATTTCTACTCGTGTCAAACTTTCTCATCTACCTCTCTGAATTTTCATTGATTTCTGTTTTGTAAACTGGCAAGAATACAATAAAGTATTGAGAGGGAAAAAAAAATTAAAAAAGAGAAAAAAAAAGCAAAACTAAACTACAAGAATCTGGCAATATATGTAGTTTTTTCACATCCATAGTACTCTACTTCTGCAAAGAATGAGCAGGTAAATTCTAATGACTCCCTTTTTTTGTCAATCTCAATGATTATAAATACAGTATAAATACTAATTTTTAAATTTGTTTTATGTTATTTGAACTGAGGCCTTCAGGCAGCTCACCCAGAATCCCAGAATCTCTTACCTTCCTTGTTCACTGTTCCTTCAGATGTATTGTTTCCCTGTAAAGTCATGTAAGCTCTCTGAAGTCAGGATTATCTGTCGCTTTTTGTATTTGTGTCCCTAGCCCTTATTACTTAAGTACCCAAAGTACTTAATAACTACTTTTCATTTATTCATTGGAAGAGACCTCAGAGGCCATCTAAGCCAACCTATCCCTGATGAAGAATGCCTTCTACAACATATTGGACAAATGGTCCTCCCATTGGAGACTTCTCATGAGTGGAAACCACAACCTACTGAGATAGCCCCTTGTGGAGAGCTCAGATGACTAGGCAGTTTTTCTTTATATCAAGCCTAAATTTGTGTTTTTGCCACTTGTCACTTTTGCACCCTGTTTTGCCTTTTGCAACCAACCAGAACAGCCCTTCCTGAAGTTTTACGTAGTGATTGGAGCATTCCTGTAGGATCACCATAAACATCATGTGTCTAGACCTGGCTCTTGTGGCCTGGACTGATTTATTCTCTAGGTCTTGCTCCAAAGCAATGCTTGATGGCATTGTTTACTTACTCACCAAGTTGCACAAGGAAGCAACTCTGCCTTGCCCTCTAGAAACCTCTTATTTTTTCTTGCTTACACCCATGGTGCTGATGATCTGTTTAGCTGGAAGGGTAATTGCATCAATCAGATTCACCTTGATCTTTGCCTATTTTCTATTACTTTTCACAAGGAAACTAACATTTCTGATGAAAAACATCTCCAGTGAAAAACATCTCAGATGCTTTACTCTGGGTTTTTCCTCTCCTGGTAATGGAATTCCATACTACTTTTCTAAAAACAAAACAAGGTACTTATTTAACTCTACCTTTCTCCACCTCCCATAAATGGGATGGGGGTGGTGTAGGAAGGGAAAACACTTATTAGACTTGTGGGCACATCTTGCTGGGTATTTCCAAAGCGAACTTTCAATGACTCATCCCCTATTTTCTTTAGCATTCTCTTTCTCCTTTTCCTTCTCTACTTCTCTCTTAGTATGGGACTACATGGGTTTCTCCCTGTCCTACTTTTTTTCTCATCTCTTTTCTTTCTCTTCTCCCTTTCCCTGTTTCCTCTTTTCTCAATATGTCTACATAGGATGTAGCATGGTCTAATGGAAAGAACTATGTCCTTGAAGTCTACGAACTCAGTCACTTACTAGTGGCATGACCTTGGGAAAATTACTTAGCCTCTTTCAGCCTCAGTTTACTTACCTGTAAAATAGGATATAGTAGCACGTACCTCACAAATTTGTAAGGATCAAATAAGATATTACATTTAAAGCACTTTGCAAACCTTAATGTGTTTGATTATCTATATATACATGAATACATACACACACATGTGTTTTCACACCATTTGTAACTTTTCAGTTGTATGTTGCTTGTTCTTTTGCTGAATGGCCTACTTAAAGACTAGAACAAAAATTGTCAAGCTAACCCCACTTTGGGAACTTTAAGAGAGCTTATGGGTAGAATGAGCTGATTCATGAGGCAGTGATTTCCTAGCCTTGGAGGTCACTTGTCTGAAGGATAGAAAGAATTCATGTTGGAAGTACGGGTTAGAGTAAAGTGAGGAGGGATCATAGTCCCCCAGAAAAAATGCTGAATTTAGTCTCAGACAACCTGGGTTTGAATTGTAGCCCTTCTACCTACTAATTTGTGTGACTTTTGGCAAATAAGTTATCTCTCTGTTAATTTCCTTATTGAGGGGACTAATTAAATGACTTCAAAAATCCTTCCCAACTGTTTGTACCTGGTAGTCGCTTCAACTTTATGGGCCCCATATTCCTCTTTATAAAATAAAATTATTAGTGGGGGTCACCATACTCATGTGTCCTCATCTGGAGGAGCCCATAAACACCTGGACCCTATCACTTGTCTCAGCAATACTATATAAATGCTGCTTTCATCATAATCATCATCACCTATATTATTATTCACTGTAATTACCAGTATTTTTTATTTATCTACACATAACAGTTATCTGTCAGTTCAATCTCTCCCCCTCTTTGAACCTCACTAGTCTTAAAAGGAAGGACAGCTGGGATGGTGGGTCACTTTTGGCAGTATAGGTTACAGGATCAGCTGGAGCTATTTTTATTTCTAACATTTGTTTTTCCAGACTTTCTTGTTGTGGGTTCGGGGTACAGAGAGTTTTTGTATTCAATGCATTTCTTCTCAGTGTCTACAGAAAAAAAAATGTCCAAGGGAGGCTAGCCTGTTCTGTTCCTCTTTGCCCAATCCACAAACACAACAATTTGGCTGCCAGATCCATGGCTTTTGTAAAAGTTCTATGTGAATGGATTTTCTGGTCTTCCAAATGTCCTTACTCTTAACCAAGACAATAAAAGAGAAGTTCTGTCTTGGATTAGTTATTTTACTTTGTATAGATTTTCAGAGCAGTCAAGTGACCTTTTTATTTTTTTGCCAAAAATGTTTTATCAATTTTACAACATAGTCATTTCCAGATAGACCTCCAACTCTACCAGATAAACTCTCCCTTTTAACAATGACTGAGTCTGACAGTGTGTGTAACATTCCATACTTGTAGGACCTCAGCTCTCCATGAGGTCATTTTCAAATGAACCATTCTCTCTTCATATCAGTTCTGGTCATTCTCCAGTACCACTCTATTCCATATAGACATAGTCATTATGGAAGTTACTGAGTTAGAGAAACAAAGAGTTTTGTAGTTTAAAAGATGGTTGGTAATGATTGAGTCCATCTCTCCTCATTTCAGATATGGAAACAGAACCAGCAATGTAAAAGGATTTTCCCAAGTTCATGCAACTATTTCCTAGAAGAAGGGAGTATTTGTCCATTACATCACATCTTCTCATGTATGTAATTCAATAAAAGGTTCATTAAAAACCCACTATGTGCAAGGCATGGTGCTAGTGATGGTGATGGGGTTGGGATCTGGACCCTAGAAAGGAAAAACCCAGTACTTTCCCACATGGCCAAATCTCTGGCATTTGCCTGAGGCTATAATCCCATCAACTGGCCTTTCCTTGTGGCTACACCCAATCTCCCTTAACCTAGCCTAGCCCTCCATTTTCTTACTTCCCTATGCCCCCCTCCCTCCACCACTTCCTACCATTAATCTTAGCTAGGATCCATTCTCCCTTGGCCATGTAGTCCAGATTCCTGGCATTCTATTAGTTCACTGTCCCAAGATTACTTGGCCACCCCTAAATCCCTCCCACAGTCTTTCTGCATATAAGGTCCATCTTGTCTCCATTAAGGTGTTCAGATTCTTATAATCTAGCCACTGCTCAGATTTTTACAATCTAGGCAATACCTCACAACACTCAGGTTCCTTAAGAATCTGCCCAATATGGCGGATCTTTAATAAACCTCGTCTTTGGCTGAAAGGAGGCTTGAATCAGATTCTTTCAGGCAGGACCCATGTGTCATGATCTTGGGGTCCCAGCATCCCTAAACCTCTAGACCTCAGTAATGGGAGATACAATTACAAAAAGAAACAGTACCAATCCTCAAAGAGCTTACATATAAATACAAAATTGACTTTTTTTCAATTTCATGAGAAACATGCTACTCTTCCTCTCCTCCCCCCAACTTGTGTTCTACATAAGTACAAGGAACTTTCCCACCCCTTTTGGTTTTCTTTCCATTTTTGAAGAGTTTACCTCCAGCAGATCATTTCCTATCCAGTTGCCTTCTGATAGCAATGCACTACATTAATTGAACACACAGAGACTTTTAATACCAAACCTAGTAAATGTCTAAAGCAGCCATCCCATTGGGACATAAAGTACTCTTTGTTTCTCCTTGGGCTTATCTGCAAGCACAATGTAATCTTGAGGCAGCACACCCACTCTTTACTGTTTTTCTTGGGCTGGGTGAACCTATGCATTAAAACCCTTACGAATTTACATGTTGGAGAGAGGTGCTTAGTTTAGAGGGGGGAGGAGAGAAGGAACTGCCATTGAGGTTGAGCTGGAAAAGCTATGGGAGCTGGGCTGCTCTGAGTTACTCTTTGTTATTCCAGATTGTAGAGTGCTAGTCCCAAGCCACACCTAGGCAAAGGGAAAGGTTTGCTTTGGCTAGGGGCCATCAGTGCCCTTTTAAGGCTATTTTGGTTGCAAATGCAGAGCTCTTTAAAAACTGCAAGCCAGAGAAAGTTGGGGCCACTAGCATTTACCTGGCCTCTGGATTCAGCTCTTCCTGAGTCCATTTGTCCTCAGGGAGTCAGTGACAAGGATTTTACCTGAGTAAACAGAGGTGTGGTGATGGATTGCTGGTGAACAGGTGCATATGGATTGGGAGTTCTGGAATTTTTTGTTTTTAATGGGGAGGGATAGAATGCAAAGAGTTTTCTATTCTTTTTCTTTGCAGTTTATTTAGTGTCCTTTTATAGTGTCTATACAGTGGATAGTTTCCCACTTTAGTAAAAAAAAATAGGCTCTCACCAGGCAAACAATATCACAAGCATTCACCTCATTTGTCATTTCCAACTGTTTTCTACCAGTCTCTCTCCCCTTTCTGCAGCCAGTCCCAGCATGTTGTTCTGTCTCCCTTTTCCCATCTCTTTACCTTTGCCCTGTGGTCAGACTCCCTCCCTGGTATTCAGAAGATCAGAGCTTTATAGATAGGATCCTAACTAGAGAGCTGGCCCTCTGGGCCAAACCTCTCATTTTAGGGATGAGGAAACAAGTGCTGAGGAGCAGTCACAACACTTTCTGAACCAGAAGGAGGCTTCACATGGTGTCATGCCAAGAATGTTGGATTTAGAGTCAAAGGTTCAAAGCCTAGCTCTGCCACTTACTGTCCCTGTGACTTGGAGCAAGACACTTAACTGCCCCGGCCCAATTTTCTCATTTGAAAAATGAGGGGATCAAATTAGCTGACCAAAGTCTCTCTTAGCTGCATAGTCTAGAAGCTCACTCACTATACAGTACTTATCCTGGAAGGAAAGGTGGGATTTGGATACTAGTTTTGACTAAGAAATATTTCAGTGACTGGATGGATGGGAGACCTAGGTATCACAGGGGAACTAACTACTCTTGCAGGGAACTTCAGGATTTGAAGAACCAAGAGGTTGTGGGAGAAGGGAGAGGGGTGGGGAGGTCTGGGGACTGGACAGTCCTTCAGACTCCTGTTGGAAAAGCTTTTATTTGGTCAGGTGTGTTTGAGGGCTGTGAATGAAACACTTCATTGGGAAAAGAGTTGGGAGTCCTGCAGTGAGTGGGAGGTTACAGTAGGTATCCTCTCATTTCCCTTCCAACTCAAGGACCTCCTAGGAAGGGGGAAATATGTACCTAATGGATTGCCAAAACTGTGTCTACACACACACACACACACACACACACACACACACACACACACACACACACAAACTGAGGCAGAAACTGGAGCAATGATCCAAATAACTGATGCACTAAAAGAAAAATGAAACAGAACCCTCCACTCAAAGACATTTTGACTTCAACTAAATGTATATTTTATTCTGCTCTCAATGATCCAGGTCACAGTCTCATTTGCCTCTCATTTTGAAAGTGCAGACAGACTCAGGTTATAGAAGATCTGAGAGCCTCTGGAAGGAGAGATAGGAAGCTCTTTGATCTTTCAGTCTCCTCACCAAACAACTTTTTCTAATAAGATTCAGTCCTCCCTGGCTTCCATCCGACATCCCATCCCCCAATCAGATCTGTGTTCTGGGTGGCTGCCTGTCTCACCCCCCAACCTAGGAGCAGTATTGCTACACAGTCCAAACCTCTACCCAATTGTCTAACCTCTGACACTCTGGAGTAAAGCAAACCCAGCTGCTTCCAGAACCATTTTATTAATCAAGATGACTCATTGATTCACAATAACTCCAAGCACCATTTGCAAACTGTATGTTGTTTACAGGGATTCTTTTCCTTTTTTTTTTTTTTTAATGTGTGCCTGATTCTTTCTGTCTTTTTTTTTAAAGCATAGATAAAACAGAAAAGAATAAAAAAATGTTGCTTGAAATAGATGTAGAAAACTCAGACTGCAAATAACTCCACATTGTTGAGGTTCCACTCTTCATTCAGAACAAGTGCATCAAAGTGTTTTATGTAATAAGGTTCAGAGATCAGGGTCCTCTGGGTATGGAATAAGCTTCCTTACACATCACAGGAACTAGGTCCTTTCAAAGGAATGATCTGGTTAGTTGCATAAGAAGGAAAATTTTTGGCGATCCTGCAGAATGCATAGCTAATAAAGAGTGGAAATATCTCAGAGGGAAGACAGAGCATATGTTTCTGTCCCAGAACAGCAGTAACTTTTACATGCCCAAAAGACCAAAGGTGGCTGTGAATTGTATCAGACATTACCCTGCTTTAGCATCCTAGCCAGCCCACCCCCAGCCTACCACTAAACACACACACACACACACACACACACACACACACACACACACAAATCCAGCTTTAACTATCACTTAACAACAAGACATCTCTATTTCAAGGAAAAGAATTTTTTTTTTCAGTAATCCTTTGACCACAACATCAAAAGAGGCATACAAGCAAGGCATAGGCTTGGCATAAGTGTCCTAAGTGCTCACCATCACCATGGAAGGTATCCTGGGCAAAGTTCAGATGAAAGACTTTTCTGCATCTGTGTCGTGTCCCTTTGCTACATGTAAGTTCCTTGAGGGCAGGTATTTTTTTTTTAAATCTGGTTTTTATATTCTCAATGGCTAGCATGGTGCTTTGTATATAAGTATTTAGCAAATATTTATTGAGTTGAATTGAAGAAGAGTTGCTTATAGACAGCTTTTATTCCTGCTAGAAGATGACATTGTGCTGATTGTAATGGGACCCAGAAGACTACTGGATACTTTCAATCAAATTTATAGCCACAAAAAAAATAGATCAATCTACACATAGGAAACCAAGTGAATGAAGAGTTCACATTGACTACCAAGAGTGGGGCACCTGCAGCCTCGAGGCTACATGTAGCCCTCTAGGTCCTCAAGTTGTGGCCTTTTGACTGAATCCAAACTTCACAGAAAGGAGTGAATTGTATTGCATTTGGGAAATTGCATAGGACTTTCAAAGGTCCCAAGCCCTACCTTGCCACAAAAAAGGCCATCTTTTAAATGCCAATATTCCTCCAATGATGCAATATGGCTATTTAGAAAACATTAAGAGCTCTGAAGAATAAAGATTATAGGTGACTTAATAGGCAATGGAAAAAAAGTATGGTGGATCAACTTAGGCTGTGCATATTGCCATTTTTGACTTATTCATGGGAAGTGTCAGGAAGGGGCACAAGCCAGTCATGCAGTGAAAGTAAGGAATAAACAGATGAACAGCTAGAGTGTTGCATTTTTTCTATAAAATATGAAAAAACCCAGAGGAAGTCTTCCAGCACATTGAGTGTTGGAAGAGGCACTTTCATTAATTACATTCTTTTGATTGTAAAGAAGGATTGGTACATTCACCAAATGCCACTGATGCAAGGCCCCACCCCCAAGAAGAGTCTCAGGAGCCTTCTTCTAGGACAATAGTGATGATCTATAATGGAAGTACCTTGGAAAGACTGGATCATGTTAGATATTCTGTATGTGACTGGTTCTGGTCTGATGATCATGTGATACACAGCAGCCTTTTCAGTTGGCTGTGGTGGTAGAACTAGAACTAGGTGGCACCTTCCAAAGGTCTTAGTGAGCCTCTCCTGGTTATCTGTTGTGGTAGATCTTTACTCTTGGTTTAAGTCTTTTGCTGATGGGGTCTGGTGAGAGATGATGCTCTAAGGGGAGGGGCATTTGAACCTCTCCCTTCACATATGGCCATGAACAAAGGCCTTGGTACTTTGCTTGATTTAATACTTCTTCTTTTCTTTTAGGTGAAGGAATTAGAAGCTGTGATAGAGCAAGTCTCCGGGATTCCCAGAGTCCCAGAGTCCCAGAGTCAGAGAGTGCAGAAGTCGCAGCCATGCCAGGTTTTACAACCAGCACAACATTGATGCCCAGAAGACTGAGGAGTGACTTTTGTGACCTATCCCAGTGGTGGCTGAGATGAGGATATACCTGGTAGCAATGTCATGTTTGGATATCAGTTTGGTGGGGACACTCCAATGTAGAAACTGTGCTAAGTCTGAATCCACTCTCCTTAGAGACCAACATGGGATAGGGGAGAGTGGGCTTCCCAAGGCATTGGGGGTAGGGAGGGGAAATATTTGTATTTTTGTTCTTGCTATTTGTAGTAAATATCCCTTCATAAAACTTAATTAATGTTAATTTGTAAAATAGGAGAGATGACAGTTTCTGGAAGCTAAAAGTGTGTGTATGTGGGTCTATGGAGAAACACATCTGGAATGGGTGTCCAGAATCAAGGACATTAGAGAAGAGATACTCCAAGCCCCTCAGGGGTACCTCTTGAAACTCAAGGGGTGAATGTAACTAGTTGGACTCTGGAAGATTGATGTAAATCCAGAGAAAAAGAAGGAGAAAGCTTGGCTGGATTGAGATAGTCATCAGTGGAGAAAATGACCATACTGATGAAATTGCAGCTCCTTTATATTCAAGTTAGCCATTTCAAAAGAAATATTGTTTTCTATGGAAACTTTTTCCTTTGCATAAGACTAAAACAATGACAGTTTTAGTATGAAACACAAGTTTCAAAGTCAGGAAATATTATTGCTGAAAGGGATCTTGGAAGTGTAAGACCTTGGACAATTTGCTTAAGCTCAGTCTGTAAAATAAGAGGGTTGGGGTAGATAATATCTTAGGTCCCTTCCAACTCAAAATCCTCTAATTGTATGGTGCTATTTCTCATCACTAAAGAGGACTTAGGGGGTGAAAATTTCACCTTAGAAGCAGACTTACTTTTTTTTTAAGGCAAATTTTGCCATTTTTTTCCTAAGTAGGCACAGAGAAAGACCTGGAGCATGTTGGGAGAATCCCCTGTGTAGAGGTTATGGGAGGACATGGAGAAGAAGCACACAGAATAAGAAGGTGTGAATCATCACCTTGGGAGGGAGCACTCACGTACATGAGATCACGTATCCATTATAGTGTTGAGAACCAAAAAGCAAGCTTTCTTCTGGGGAAAGAGAACTTTCTTTTCTGATAGTCAGAACCCCAAATCACCACCATGACCAAGCAAGTACCTAGAACAGAGTTTGCAACTACAAAATTTGCTGACACAAATTTTCAGGCTTGCTTGATGACTTTTTCTCTCCTGGCCGCAGGGTTGAGAAGGCAGCCCCCTCCTTGTCCAAAGATCTGGAGGAACCCCTCAGTTCAAAGGTCTGAGTGAACCCCTCAGTCAGTGTTCTTCTCAAGTCGTCAGGGCAACACCAGTGTCATGTCCTGATGTCTTGGAATCTGCTTCTGTGCTGAAGCCCCAGCAAGGATGGTTGAGCCATGATTAAGTTCTCTAATCCATGCCAGTTTGGCCTTGGAACTATTTTCAGAAATGATATTATTCCCGTATCAATTTTTAAAAACTTTCCTTTCCGAGATTCATTTTATTACGAAGACTCGGAGAAAATGCTGGCATGTCCTCTTAGGAAACAAAAAATATTCTGCCACCTGCAGAGCCTTCCCCCTCAAAAACATGACTGACTGAAGTTTCTGCAAAATGGAAAAGATTCAGGGCAGCTTTGCGTTAGAGTTCAGGAAAAGGCTGACTGGTGGAAAGTCTCTCAAGAGCCTGAGAGCTGCTCTACTAGTTTTGATCCAAGACGTGATTAGTGGTTAATGGGCCTTGAAAGACATCTTTATTTATAACTGCCAGCAGATCACTGTTGTCATGATATTGATCTTTCCCAATTTTCTGTTTTGTCCTTTGAAATTCCCAGAACACAGAGGTAAGTCTTTGCCTGCAGGGCATGAGTTTTTCAAAACTCATTTCCTTTGGAGACTAATGTAGTGTATATTTCATTATTATTATTTGGTTCACCTTTCTTTTAGGCCTAAGGCTTGGAATAAATTAAGACAGGCAGCTTTAAAGGCGGGTGGCAGACAAGGAAGAATTTGGGGAAAATAAAACCACCAAAACTTAAGAAATATGTTCTAAGTCTCTAAGAGATCACTAATACCATACTTAATCAATATATCAACTATTGAGAATCTGTGATCCTCGATCTGATGAAGCACAAGGCCTGGGTCTGTGATTTCATTGTCAAGAAAACCTCAGTTTCAAAAATTTAAATTTAAAAATTTAAAAATAAAAAATGATGATGATTGATTCTTTACATTAAGGAAGAATGTCTCAATATCAAAGCCCCATGTTTCTGTTGACATCATCGATCAGTCTGGCTTTTGCGAAGGCTTGTCTGTTTATGATGAGGATGGTCAGCCCAGTGATAACATGGAACCTATTTTCTACAGACTTTCACAGGAGGGACTTGTCCTGATTCAAAAGGATTTTTTGAAATGCATTGCTGGTTGGACACATGATGCTGCTATGTTGAGCTGACTAATTTTCCATATTCTTTTGATAGTTTCATAAAGACATAAGCCTTGATCAGAGTTTTAAAACTATTTGGAAGGGTTACAAATATAATGGGGATTTGGTGTGTACCTAGATTGTCTAAGATGGTATCACCCACTAGGAATGCACCAAACCTCTGTTACACAAATATTGCTGAAGATTTTAATTAATAGTCTGAGAGGAAAAAAATTATCATGTCCCTGAAGCCATATTTTGGAGCTGTGTGTGTGTGTGTGTGTGTGTGTGTGTGTGTGTGTATGTGTAGATGAGAGAACAGAGAGACAGCCACATGAGCTGTCCATTTCTCCCAGCCACCTACCTCATTAATCATTTTCCTCTCCTTCTGTCCTGGTCACTTTACATGCAACGGGATACAACGCTTTCTGTTCCATTGTGCAACTGCCTGAAAGCTGTCCCTGTGACTAAAATAAATGGACTCTGATGTAAAAATGCAAGCTTTGCATTAAATGTATAATTTCTGCTCAATTTTCATAAATGGTGTCTACTATGGGATAGTTTAATGATTCAAAGTGTGCAGATTTATGTTGACAGCTTCAACTAAAGTTGCTGAATTTGACTAATATTCAAAGTTTTCTCTAGGACTTTTATCAGTATTTTTTTTTAAGTTCCAACCCTATAATTGGCCAAGAGGCCATATCAGTTCCTTCTTTCCTCTCCTAGAAAAAAGTATAGTTTATCATTTGCCTCTGTAAAGCACTTTCTAATTTAAGAAGGACTTTCCTTACAATTATATTGTAGGTAGTAAGTCTTACAGTCCTTGTTTTATAGGTGAGGAAACTGAGGACTTTCAGAAAGTCCAAGTACTCACCCCAAATCATAACTGAACTAGAACCCTAGGGAAGTCATTCCCCTCTCTGGGTCTCAGTTTCTTCCTCATCTGGCAAATGAGATTGTATTAGATTATCTCTGAAGTCTCTTTTAGTTCAGTCCTAGTTCAAGGCTCTTTCTGCGACTTCCTTTTAAAAAACAAGGGTCTGCTAGAATTGTGTATGTTGCCTTAGAATTTTTAAGATGCTTTGCCCAGTGTCTCCTTGGGCCCTCACCACAGCTCTGCAAGATAGACTGGGGGCAAAGAGCAAAGTCACACAGTAGCAAATTGAAGCAGCAGGATCTGAACCCACGCTCTTCTAAGCTAAAGTAGTGTTTTTCCACTTTACTACATCCCAAAAGAATGTATTTGAGGCCACGTGGATGTGTGTGTGTGTGTGTGTGTGTGTGTGTGTGTGTGTGAGAGAGAGAGAGAGAGAGAGAGAGAGAGAGAGAGAGAGAGAGAGAGAGAGAGAGAGAGAGGGAGGGAGGGAGGGAGAGGTGGAACAGTTTTTCCCCCTCCAGAGCAGTAAGATTCTGAGCCAACATATCTCTTACATACATAGATTTGTGAGGCATGTTTCATTGGGGTGGATACTCCCATAAAGTTTTTGTTTTTAGACATTTATTGAAAACTGAATCATAAAGAACATTACATCTATTCATCAAACCAAAACTAAAGAATCAAACATTTTTGAAATTAAAAACTAAAATTTACATAAACATACAAAATTTTTAAATAAGACAAAACACCCAATTTTTTCCATAGTGATAGTCAAGTGCATACAAGTATACAGTCAGTGTAGATGTTCTTTATTTTTAGCCAGATAATGAGCTAACCTGAACTGACCAAAGTAGAGTAAAGTTCCTTAATCTTCTCATCCTGGAGAATGAGATGTCACTCATTAGGTGTTAAGGAATTAAATTTCTCAATCAGATCATTGTAATTAACTGATGAAGCTAATTCTTGTTCGGTGTTCAAAATCTTGTGTGAGTTGAAAAGTAGGCATTTGAATCTTCAAGTTGTTTTTTTTTTAACATGCCCTAACTTCAAAAAGGTTTTTTCAGATAAATAGTTTGTAATACGTAAAAGTGCAAAGCACTGAATAGATTTGTAAAAGGCCTGGAACATAGAAGCTCAGTCTGATTCCTTGAGGAAATCAAACCACTCTCTAGTGGTGTTTGAAGTGCTGCCTATAGGCAAAGATTTATCATCATCTCTAAGCAATCTGGTTTCAGCTTCTAGCTTAGTCAATAGTTGAATATTTATTAAGCAAATACTATGAATCAGGCACTAGCTAAGCATTGTGGATACAAAGAAAGGTAAAAATAGTCTTTGTCTTCAGGGAACTTATGTTTTAATGGAGGGTGGGTGAGATAATTGTCCAAGCAACTAGACACAAACATTATATATATTGAGAAGATGGAAGATAATCTGAGAGGAGAAGCACTAGCACCGGAGGGGAAAAGGAAAGTCTTTCTGAAGAAGATGAGGCTGAAGCTGAGTCTTTTTTTAATTTTTAATTTTTTTGGTGAGGCAATTGGGGTTAAGCAACTTGCCCAGGGTCACACAGCTAGTAAGCTGTCAAGTGTCTGAGGCTGGACTTAAACTTATGTCTTCCTGACCCCAAGGCTGGAGCTCTAACCGCTGTACCACCTAGCTGCCCCTGAAGCTGAGTCTTAAAGGAAGCTGGGGAAGCCAAAGGGCAGAGTTGAGGAGGCAGAGCATTCTAGATATAGAGGATAAGTACAAAGACAAGAAAAAGGGAAAAGTGTGTGTGGTAGTAAAGTCTGTGACAGGGAGAAAAGTGTAAGGAAACCGGAAATGGAAGAAAAGTTCAGGGTATGAGAATGTTAACACCAAAGAGAGATTTATACTTGATCATAGAGTTAATAGGGAGCCCCTGGAGTTCATTGAGACAGGCACATATATACTTTAGAAAAGTCACCTTGGCAACTGAGTGGAGAATGATTGGGATAGGAAGAGGTAAGGAAGGGAGACAGTTAGATGATTATTGCAATAGTCCAAATGAGAGGTGATGAAGATTTGAACTAGCATTATGACTCCATGAGTGGAGAGAAGGGAACTAAGAGAAGAGTTGTAGTGAAGATAGAAATAACATGATTTGTCAATGGATTGGATATGTGTGGATATACGAAAGTGAGGAGCCAAGAATGACTCTGAGGTTGGGAGCCTCATTGACAAAGAGGATGGTGGGACCCTTGACACCAATAGGAAAGTCAGAGAATGGGGAGGGTCTGGGGGAAGGTGTAAGATAATGAGTTCTATTTTGGACATGTTGAATTTGAGGTGTGGCAGCTAGGTGGCAGAGTAGATAGGGCACTGGGTTTTCAATTAAGAAAACTCATCTTCCTGAGTTCAAATCTGGCCTCAGACACTTACTACATGTGTGACTATATAGTCAAGCCACTTAATCCTGTTTGCCTCAGTTTCCTCATCTGTAAAATGAGCTGGTGAAGAAAATGGCAAACCACTCCAGTATCTTTGCCAAGAAAGCCCCAAAATGTTTTTTTGAAGGGCCAGACACAACTGAAACAACTCAATAACAACGAGTTTGAAAAGCATATGGGAGGAGGTCATGAGTGATGTGTAACAGAAGCTCAGCAGAGAGGTTAGGGCTGAACACGTAGATCTGGGATGTTGGTAATTGTGGAGAGGGCAATTTCAGTTGAATGATGAGGTCAAAAGCCACATCGTGGAACTTAACTCTGTAATAAAATCAAGTTAGATGTTTAATTCAAAGTTACAACATTTTAAAGAGTAATTTAAGTTATATTCTTCAAATCCAGTTACTTTATTAAAGTAAAAAACAAAAATATCTAAAAAGCTTAGGAATCATGGCAAAAATTATAAAATGAGTATGAAACTGATGGAAGTTGCACCAGTATTATAAAATATACACCTAGTGTAGATGTCTTTCTCAAGGAATTTCACAGGACAGTGGAGATATAGGATGATAAACTCAGCAGTTTTCCTACCACAGTCACAATTGTACAAGTCTCTTTTTCAAATTGATAATCTGTGCTGGTAAACATTGAGTCTAGTTGTTGGTAAAATGAAGTTATTCCCTCCACTTTTGTATCAAACTGATGATAATACTCAAAGGGTCATCAGTATGAGTGGTTAAGTACCAAATTTATTTGAACTGAACTAACTGGAGGAATCGATATATTCTTCTTTGCATCCATGTTCTCACTCACTATTCTGGGCCACTTCTCATTAAAGTTAGAGTCACTGGTTCTGGCATTAAGTCTATCAAGCGTTAGACTTTGAAGAACCTTAATTTTTACTATCATTTAAAAAATATGATGCATCATATGGAGGACCAAAATGAACTTCAAGTAATTTAGTTCATGGATAACACTTTCATTTTTGTGTCAGTTTGGTGAAATATTTTTGAAATCTCTTATGAAGCTTATAGAATGATGAAGTAGTTTTCATTTTGTGGCACTGGTGTGAAACTCAGATAGAAATGGGACCACTAAAGCATACATAGGGATTTCTGAAGGCCTCATATATACTTAGAAAACCACACATGTTTATATATTTCCTTTTTTCTATTAGTACATTAACACATTAAAATGAGATACATTTTAATTTGCTTCAGTTATACTTGGAATGTTGTGGCTACATGTGGCCCTTAGGCCACAGGTTTGAAACCTGTTTTATGGAACTACTGAGTGTGCTCTTATGTGCATCTTGTCCCTATCAGTATCTTCAAAGCCTTCAACTGGGATAAGACTTTTTGAAAGGTCTTCTCCATTTTTGCATATTTCACAGGATTTCCTTCCATGAAGACATAAAGAATCTAACACCTAAAGAAAATCAGACAGTTCCGTT